AATTTAAAAGTTATAGCATGAAAACTATAACAAGCACAAAATGGTTATGAGGTTGGTTCCAGGGACAGAGCCCGGGCTGAAAAAGTTAACAGTGTATGAGATAGAATACACTTTAGGACTGAACAGATAAGATCACAATTCTTATGAGGAATGGTTAATAGTGTTTTGGCCCTTCCTAGTGAAAAACTATAAAACAGTTTAACTGATGCAATTTTTTAACATTAACAGAATATTCAAATTATGTGCATTACTTATTAGTGTGTCACCATGCATTCCCCAAAGATATTAAGTCAGTGTTTTATAATAACTGTTCTACATTACTGCTGTTTAATGTTATTTTAGCACTATTTTTAAAGCTAATGGTTTCTAATGCTACCTATATAATTCATTCTGTACACATTTTTTCAGTTTCTTCTTATCTACTTGTGATGTCACAAGCAAACACCGGCAGATTTAACATGAAGACTACTACTAAAGACATCAATATATAAATAATTCTCATATTTGGAATTCATCTACAATAGTTGTGTGTAACATAAAAGACCTGCCCTATTAATTAAACTCTGGATGAATTTGTTGTTTGTGCAGATAGCTCCCAACTATCATAATTTTTTTTTATTTCTACAATAGTGGCTTTATAATTGCTTTAACTTAATTTTCAAAAATGCATTTGTCACATAAAAAAAAAAAGACAAATGATGTCAGCAAGTCACTTAGCCCGTTACATCACATTTCTCCACCACAACATTATTAAATCTAAACTTAGCACCTACAAATCCATTAGCTATCCATTCCTCAAGTCTGTAATAATAGAAAAATAATTTTACTTAATAAGATGGGAGCAAAAAATATTTTAAAACTGTTTTGAGTAGAATGAATATCTATTAGCACTTCCAATCCTGACAAATATCTTTAAATAATTACACAAAACATGTGCTGAAAATAAATGCAACTTAGGTCAAACCTGATGTCTTATCGTAACTTACGTCTGTTTACACAATGTATGATATATTCAACCTCACAGACACCAGACTTTTAACATCAATCTAACTCAAACAAATATATACATATATTTCAATACTTTAGCTAAGAGTTACTGAAATAAACAATTACCTCCACCATACAAGCTTACCTAGTTTAGATGAAGCTATACTTAAAATGACTATGTCATCTGAAGTAGAACAAGATTAAATGTTCAACATGAACCAAACTATACACTGTACTCCTTTTACTATAACCCACATTGTAACTGAAGCAATATCCACCCTTGTATGAAATTTAAAATCTGAAAGAACATTAGAAATAATTGCACTGTAACATATTTGCAAAAAAAAATGCAAAAACCTAGTTAGTACTTATCCGTTAAACCCCACAATTTTAACAACTTTTCCATTATGCCCCTGTAATTTTAATAACTTAAAAAAATATGTATATAAACATAAATATACATATTATTCATAGAGTAAAAAATTACCATTTGTGGGGGTTTAATAGAACAGTACCACCTAGTTTTTGTAACCTAGAACAAGTTATTTTTATATTTAACTTTCATGGAAAGGATGAATTTCTGTCATGTTCGGGAGAAAGAACAAAAGTAAAAAAAAACAAAAACATTTTTTAGCTATGCTAAAACTAATAAAGCTTCTAGTGTTATACTTCATTAATTAGTTTGGTACAACCAGAAGACTCTAGTACGTTCTTGCTATTTATACAGGTTCATTGGTAATGTACCAGTAAAGATTGCATGTGCATCAAACCATTCATGGCTAGATGGTTAAGGTGCTCAATGTGATCTGTGGGTCATGGGTTTGGAACTGTATCACACATGCATGCATTTTCAGTTGTGGGGATGCTATAATGTGACAATCAAACCCATTATTTGTTATAGAAGGATAGTCCAAAGTGGCAATAGAGTCTACACTACCAGCCCTATAGTAGTTGGAAAAACGTACATGCATCTGGCATGGCAACCTAAGAGTTGTGGATGAGGTAACAAACCAAACTACAATCAAAAAATAAAAATTCCAAGTTTATTACACCTTCTTTACTGAGTTTAAGGTACATATACTCTGTGCCTTCTGGTGGAAAACTGAATAATGGACCCACCACTTTTTATTTAGCTTTAAATTAAGTCCAAATGTGATTTTCTAACATTTGTGAGAATCAGTCCAACTCAACCACAATTTCTGAGTTTTTCTCAGGTAAATATACATAATGCATACTGCTTAATATATACACTCAGAACCTCTACTCTAGAGCAAAAGATAACTCGTGAACCTCCACTTATATAGGCCTAAAAATAAAATGATGCCAACATGCAATTTTATAAAATATGTATGAGAATCACCCTGACTCAGGACAGTTTCTGTTTTTCTAAGGTAAATATACATCACATAGTGCTTATGTATAGATATTCAACTTCAAAGTTCAAGCCCTTTCATTGAAAAACTAGCTTATAGAAAACGTTTTTAAACAGTACAAAATATACATTTTTCATTTTGAGAACAATATCATTGTACTTTTCATTACATTTAAAAAAAAACAATAGCTTTTATCTGCTTGTTGTTTGTAAGTTGTATGCTGACCTTACATAACACATTTCAACTTTCAAGGTATATTAAGATTTGTTTAGACTTCATTTTGATAATGAAAAATAAATTTGATCAAAAACCACACAGATTATAAACTTACGTTTTTCAATATTATAGTTACTAGTACTAGTAGTATCACCGTGTTAGTGTTACTGTTAGTGCATCACACAAAGATAAAAAACGAACTCTTCTTAAAAGTTATAAATATATTAATAATTATAAAGAAAGAAGTTCCACTTCTACCTCATGTCAGAATCTTGGTGAAAATCCCGCATAGCTGCACTGAAAATTGACATTAATTTTAATACAAACTGTCAAAAGCTTGGAACACAATTTCAAACAAATCTGATCACGAATCACCGACGTCACACAACACAGACTAACCGTACATTGAAACACGTCACTTATTTCAGTAGGTGACTTTTACTAGAAATTTCTAATTCACGTGATCAGTAACTCTGTGTAATAACCATGATGGACTGTTTTATCTTGTGTTCTACCTTTCGGTCGTTTAAGCCTTCTACGGGAAGTATTTTATTTTTATAGTTATATTTGTTCAACTCACAAATATATCATTGTTGTGAATATTTACAGAATAAAATTTGTTTTGGGTTTAAATATGATCGTTGTTTATTTTTTTGACGTTTGTTATCTATATATGATATACTTAAAAGAAAACTAGAGATTTCAGAATGATAAAGACTGGATAAAATCAATAGAAAATGAATTAATATTTTGTGGGAAATTAAAAAAAGAGCTGTGAAATCATATAAATTTGTGAACGTACATCTTCATAACATTTGTTATGTGGTATAAAACGTCTCAGTCCTATATTGTTATAGTTACATTTTATGTTTCTTAAATTACCATGTACATTTCAAAAGTAGTAGTAGTAATTGTTGTCGTTTAAAGCGCAAAACTACACGATGAGCTCTGCTCATCGCGGGGAATCGAACCCAATATTTTATTATAATGAATTTATATACTGATGATACACTTAGGGACACTGGAAAGTATTGAGACTGTTGTCGGTATCGAAAACCAGTTTCTAAAATAATAATAATAAGTAACTGAAGTATTCTGTTAATATGATTTTTTTAAAAAGTTTATCATCTTTTAAACAGAATATTATTCGTATGGTTACAACATTAACCTGGTCAAATCAGTTAATGTCAGTTTAGACGTAGAAACTTGTGGATGTTTTGATTAATGATGATAATAAAAAATATTATCATGATATGTAAACAAAAACCTGGGAAACAACATACTTGTAACACCTACTTTAAAATTTATTGTTAGAAATAAAATTACCGAAAAGGGTGTAAAATACTATAATTGTATTTGCTCTTGTAGTAAAAAAAATCTAATTAATCTATTTCGTAATATATACATATTGATATGAGATCAAGTTGTCCATAACATTAATAAACATAAAAGGAAAAATTATTTAAATAAATAAATAAATAACCTTGCGACTGCCGAAAATCGAACCCGGGTTAACTATTTGGAAGGTAGTTATTTTATTTCTTTATTAATCCACCCTCATAGAGGAGATATAAACAAAAATTCCCCACTATACCACCGTCGCACTCTTGTTACTTCTCAACTATATAATTTCTTAAGATAAATTATATATATACGAATTTATTTTAAAAAATTTATATTTTAATGAAATAATTCAATATTTGGATGATTAATGCACATCTATTATTCAAATGTGTCACATATCGGAAGTCACTTACATAGAGATATTGCATTCGAAATTATTATAATATCGGCCTACTAATAGCTTATTAAACTGTTTGATTCCGTGATGGACCATATTTTGTTTCCCATTGCCGCGAAAATCCGATCTGCATTTGGGGGCCATCGATGCGTTATAAGATTGACTGGTATAAGACCCTTGTTGCGTCATCGAGATCACGTGACTATTCTCACGCCCTCTAGTTTCT